CGAGTGGGCTGCAGACACAAGGAAAAGGCCAAGTGAGCTTGGCAAGGGCCTATGGCTTCCTCCCTTGGGGCAGCTCAGACTGCAGACAGGCCTTGGGCAGCTACGCTAACTGCAGCGCCACCTTCTGGCCGGCCTCGGGATCTGTGGGCTGGGAGAGGCTGGGAGAGCCGGTGGCTGAGGACCAGCACAGGATGCCAAGGAAGCAAACCCCAGCTTCTAGTGATAAAGTGAAAGGACTGTAGAGAGAAGCCTCAAGACAGTGGAGCAATGAAAGGCAAGCGCCGGAGTACTCAGTCACAAAAGTTCTGCGTTCTTTACTCAGTTCATAAATTTAAACAATTATCGAAAGCCACCAACCAGTTCCACGACACAATGGAAAAAACGGGTAAGGGAGGACGAGCTGTCAAGTAAATGCAGGCACCTGTCAAGGCTCAATCCTGGGCATCTCCCCTCTCTCCCTGAGTGGCTCCGCCACCCACAGCTTCATTATACACCGAAGCTCCCCACACATCCATCTCCAGCCCAGGTCTCTCTCCCAGCTCGACCCCGAGATCCAGCTGCCTGGTGCCATCTTGGATGCCTGAATTAGTAGGAATCCTTCTCATAATAGACCCAAATCAAAGTAACTTGCTGCCAAACAAGGCAGAGATTTGCTGGTCTGTAGAACCAACTTGTGAGGAGAGCAGAGGTGGAGCTGGGCTATTTGTTGCATGAAGGAAAGGGTGGGAAAACATGAAAGAGTTTATTAGAGGAAGGGGATGGGGGCTCAGACTCGGTGAGTACCTACTAGCTGCTGGGCACTGAACTTATTTTATCAGATGGGACTAAATGCTGGGGATGGGCGCAGGGGGCTGTGACGTTTACCCAAAGTCACACAGATAGTTCATGAAAGAATGGAGGGGGGGTTCTGTCTGGCTCATTCCACTGCCTCTAGTTCTTAAATCAAATAATAGATTTAAGGTCTATGATTAAACATAAGGGACTTAAGCGACTTTAGAAGTCATTTCATCCCCTGGGTACCCAATGCTTGAATCTCTCTCTTCCCATCCCAGCCAGGTAGTTGGTAGCTTCTGCTTGAACACCACCCCTCATGATGGGGGACTTATTCTTGAGACGATGCTTTTATTATGGAATCATGCGGGAGGTTAGAAAGTTGAGCCTGAGTTCTTCCTTCTTTAAGATTAAATACGGTCATGCGTGTAATGTGCCTGTCCCGGCACCTGCAGCATCAGTAATGCTATCGTGCTCCCCACTTCCCTGATTGCAACGATTCTGAGTCTGTCTTTCCCTTGGGGTGCCCGGAAACAAATGGAATTCTTCTTCCCTGAGACAGCCCTTCGGATATTTGAAGACAGTGCTGCGGGGTCCCCCGGAGGCATTGCCGGCCCCAGATAAACAAATACTCCAACCTGCTTTCAGACACTCACTGGCAAGCACGAGTTGATACTGTACACGCTGCGATTTCCCGGCTGCTGTGGTATGTGAGGTTTCAGAAAAGCTGACGGGACAAGTGACGAGCCAGCCACAGCAGGGTGGTCATGGGCTCTGAATCATGACCTCAGCCAGAAAAACGGAAGTGGTTGACCCTGAACAGACCTTGGCTCATCACCAGAGCCTCACCAGCGCCATGCTTGGTCCACCCACTGTGGGAACCTGTTTTCGTGGAAGAAAAAGAAATGAGTAGCCCTCACAGTTAATATTCATCATTTTAGACACATACACACACACTCCTGCTTTGCCAAAAGTCACTGTTGGTCCTTCCCAAATCCAATTAGTGTGTTTATGGATCCAGTATTGAGCAGCGTAGGAGACCTAATGCATTCTAATCATCGAACATCTACCCTTAAGTTCTTCCTATTTAGAGGTGGGGAAACTGAGATTCCGAGGAGAGCGGTGAATTATCTAAAGTCATATAGGAAATCTGGGCAAAGGTCTGGTCAACTTATGCACTCCAAAGAAAGAGGAGATAGTAAAGCAAATCTACATGGGGAAAAAGGAAGAAGAAAGCAGCCATTAGATCAAAACAAAAGAGGAGAGCTCTGAGAAGTCCTCCCTGGCGTGCTTCTCCCTCCCTCCCACCGATTTCCTGCAGAGACAATGTAGTATCGTGTGACAGGCGCAAGGTTGGAGTCAGAAATCCCCGGGACCATATGCTGGCTCTGCCACTGACAAGGTGTGTGATCTTGAACAGGCTACTTAACCTTTCTGTTACTCAGGTGCCTCGTTAATAAAACGAGCACAGGAACATCTCCCTCCAAGGAGTCCTATGAATGCTAAATGAGTGTGGAGACTTGGGGTTCTCTGTAATGGTGGGATAGCTTATATCAGACTAAGCCTCCTGGAAATGGGAATTATAAACTTTGGACAAGATATTTTAAAATGCTATTTGATGGGACTAAAGCAGGCAGGACCTGGAGGGTATTCAGCCCTTGAGGATAGGGACCTGCACTGGGTGAAATACATATTTATTTATCTGACTTCTCCCTGGAGGGCAGGTCAGGTTCTAAGGGAATACTGGAGTAGAGCTCAAGCAGAAAGTAGCAATCATTAGGTTTTAAAAAGCACAAGTCTGCCTGGCTGCTGTGGCTGAGTGGATTGAGCATCGCCCCATGCACCAAGAGGTCACAGTTTGATTCCCGGTTAGAGCACATGTGCAGTGTGCGGGCGCAATCCCAAGTACGGGGCGTGCAGAAGGCAGTCGATCAATGTTTCTCTCTCAGATCAATGTTTCTATCACTCCCTTTCCCTTCCTCTCTCTTTAAAAAAACAATAAAAACATGATCTTTTTAAAAGGCACAAGACAGAGCTCATGGTTCATGATTGCCAGAAAGGTTGAAAATTTGGGGGAAGAAAGATCCTAGAAAGGTGGGACCCACAGAGGGGGAGCTCCAAAATGTTTCTATAAACTTCCCTAAAATCATAGGCTGAACCTTGAACTTCATATGGAGAGGGGTGGCACTCCAAGAAGCCCAGGACTACAGGTGAAAGAGCTCGGCAGTAATCTCAGCAGCTGCCAATGCAGGGAAGACAGACTTTGTCATTCAAGTCCCACCAAGTTACACTTGATAAGCATCCATCTCGGGCTTTCCATTCAAATCCCAGAAGTGTCAGACCTTAGGAGTTAACATCACATTCCACGACTAGGGGCTATAGCCCAGGACAAAGGGAAAAACAAAAATATTATACCCATTCTTATACAAAGCCTAAACAACACCTTCACAAAATCAAAGCGATTCACTCAATGCTGTTCAATGGAAGATAACTGACCTGAAGCCACTATAGTTATCTACTGTGTCCAGCATACAACAAAAAATGACCGTGTCCTTCGCCATACCATCAAAACCTACTCTTCACATGAAGAAAGAGGCAAGATGTGAAGAGAAAAATAAACAACTAGTAGAAACAGAGCCACATATAACCCAATTTGGAATTTAAAAAACAACAACTTTAAAATAACAATGATAAACATGTTAAATAATTGCAGAAAGAGATGTAAATAATGAGAGATTGGGGGGGGGGCAAGATATGGAAACTTTTTTTAAAAAGTCAACCTGAAACTGAAAAATGCAATGACCTGGAATTTAAAACCATTGGGTAGGACACAATAAGTGAACACAGACTTGAAGACACCGGCCAGGGCTTCACGTATTTTTGAGACTTATCATTAGGCAATAAGCATTTAGAATGATTATGTCCTCTTGATGGTTGATCCTGTTACTGTGAAGATAACCCTCTCTATCTCATGCAGTATCTTTGTCTTGAAGTTTACTTTGTGTGAAAGACATTTTGTTGAGCTAAAGAAGCCAGACACAAAAGAGCACATAGTGTAAGTCTTCGTCTATATGAAATTTGAGAAGAGGCAAAGCCAAGCTATGGTGATAGAATCCCTAACAGCGATTGCCCGGGCAGGTGGGGGCTGATTGGAAAGGGGCAGGAAGGAACTTTCTAAGGTAATTAAAAATATCCTATATCTTTTTTAATTTGTTGATTTGAGAGAGAGAGAGAGAGAGAAACATCCATTTGTTGTTCCGCTTGTTTATGCATTCATTGGTTGATACTTCTATGTGCCCTGACCAGAGATCGAACCTACAACTTTGGCTTATTGGAACGATGCTCTAACCCAGGGCAAAAATGTCTTATTCTTGCTTCAAGTGGTAGTTACATAGGTGTGTAGATTTTTCAGAATTTGTTGAACTGTGCGCTGGACATGTGTGCATTTTATTGTATTTTTTATTCTTAAAATTTTTTTAAGACGTAAAGGACTTGGCTTTGGGGCTTACCACACAGTAAGTGCTCACCAACCATTAGTTCCTTCATCGAAGTGGTAGTTACATAGATGTGTAGATTTTTCAGAACTTGTTGAACTGTGCACTGGAAATGTGTGCATTTTATTGTATTTTTTATTCTTAAAAATTTTTTAAGATGTAAAGGACTTGGCTTGAGGCTTAACACACAGTAAGTGCTCACCAACCATTAGTTCCTTCATCCTTCACTCTCTTCATCCCCAGCAGGCAAGTGCCATAGGTGTTAGAACAGTTTGCAGTCATTGGGCCTCGGAGAATAAGTGACACGTTCCCCAAAGGAGTTTGTCCACAGCTGGCACTGGAGAGCTGGCTAGCCAGGGCCAAGGATCATAAACAACACTGTGTATGCCGAAGGCCATTTCATCCCAAACCCTCCTCCAGCTCTAGGTCTCAGGTTCCTAGTCTGGAGGGTAGAATTTCCAAGAGATGGGAGATGACAAAGTGTGGAAGTGACGAGATACGGCATATGTAAAAGGCTCTGTGAAGATTCGAATTTCTGGGAGGGTTCATAAGAGAGGAGATAAGAATACTAATGTTAGAGCCAGATGTTGAAGGCATGTGAGGTCAGTGGAGTCTAGATTATCATGAATTAGTTGCTCAATAATTGTTGGTTGATTGAATAAGTGAATGAAGGAGGCGCTGAGTCCATCTCGGCTGAACCTCCAGGGCTGACTGCTGCCCCTTCTTGTCTTGCAGCTCACATACCTGCCGCCTCCGTGGGGCGAGTGCCGATCCTCAGAGATGGGACTCGACTTCTTTCCTGTTTACAGCATCACCGCCTGTAGGATCGACTGTGAGACCCGCTACATCGTGGAGAATTGCAACTGCCGAATGGTCCACATGCCAGGTCAGTGCCAGGGGAGGGGCGGCCACAGGGGACCGCCTGGGGCCTTCTTTGCGTTTCTCACCCTAATGAGAGCTCCACGAGCATCCAAAGGGGTGTTATTTGGTGCCCAGACATGTAGAGAGCAGGCAGAAACATCCACTCTAGCAACCGAGGCAGCTCCCTGGGGTCCTGAAGCATCCAGATGTTTGGAGAACATTCCTCCCAATGTTTGAGATGTTTGCTGTTTGCTGTGCCCAGATATTTGGAGGCTTGCAATCGTTGCTTCCTCGTGTGGTCCATGTTCACACATCCTGACGTGTGTTGCTTTCATCCAGATATTCCCCTTCCTGAACCCAAAAGTCCAGCACTCTTTCAAATGAAGCAAACGTTCACCAGCCTGCCTGCACATGCCGGTGCTGATATTTCTGGTGTCAGACTTACAGTGCATGTGGCCATCTCATCAGAGGCAGTCAGCTTGTCAGAGGCGGCCTTGCAGAGGGAGTGGGGCTGAAGAAGGCAGGGAGGAGGACCGGGGCTGGAGGCCTTGGCTTCTAATTCAGGTTCCTCCACTCACCTGCTTTGTTTCCTGGCCCAAGTTTCTAAACCTCTCTGTTCTCAGCTTCATTATCTTTAAAGTAAAAAAAAAAAAAAATTAGACTAAGACATAAAAATGCTTTTAAAACTGCAGAAGTCAGTGGTTGTTGTGTTAGCATATGGGAGGAGGAACCAAAAATCCTGTGGACTGAAGACCTACTATGTGCCAGGAATTTTGCTCGTGTATTTAACAGCTACTATTTCATGTTTATAGCATGCTTTATTTAAGTGTACTTAACGAAATCCTTATATTAGGCATTTAGTTCATTACCAATTGTTTTTTAATATAACCAATGCTGAAATGAACATCCTCACAATTAACTTCTGAATTATTTCATTAATAATCAGTAATTTATTTAGTAATCTAAGGTTAGAATTATTGATTTTTTAAATTGCCTCTGAGACCCTGGCCGGGTAGTTCAGTTGGTTAGAGCATCATCCCAAATGTGCCAAGGTTGTGGGTTTGACCCCTGGTGAGGGCACATATAGGAATCAACCAATGACTGCATCAATAAGTGGAACAACAAGTCAATGCCTCTCTCTCTCTCTCTCTAAAAATCAATAAATAAAAATTTTATAAATAAATTAAAAATAAAATTGCCTCTGAGCTGCCTAGAAGACAGAGCAAAAAGGAAAACTATCAATTAAATTATTATTATCGGAGCCCTAGCTGGTTTGGCTCAGTGGATAGAGCATCAGCCTGCAGACCAAAGGGTCCCCGGTTTGATTCCGGTCAAGGGCATGTACCTTGGGTGCAGGATCCTCCCTGGTTGGGATGCATGCAGGAGGCAACCAATCGATGTGTTTCTCTCACATCGATATTTCTCTCTGTCTTTCCCTTTCTCTTCCACTCTCTCTAAAAAATCAATGGAAAAATATCCTCAGGTGAGGAGATTATATATATATATGAAAGGAGGGAGCATAACAGCCCCTCAGCTCTTGAAAAAGGGTGTTTGGGGAAATAGTGAGGAAAAGACATCAAGGTGGACATTCACTGTAGCCCTTGAAAAAAGAGAAAACAGTGGACCCTGGACTTCTACAAAGAGATGCCAGGAAGGACAGCTGAGCAATAGTTAGTGTTACCTGCCTGCTGCTCAGTCTGAGGTTTGCCTCAGGGAACCTGAGCTGAAAGCAAGCAGTCATTCCACCCAGGACACTGGTCCTAACCTCTCAATTACTGGTGGGGATGCAGGGTGCAGCGAGAGGTGCTTACAGAGCAGCCCTTCTCCCAGTGCTGTGTGTGGTGGGAAGAGCCCCTGCCTCAGGATCAGGGTCCACAGCCCCCCTCCATCACTGCCACTCCGGTGCCCTGGGAAGGCAGGCTGCAGTACTTCCCCCTTCAGGAGGAAGTGACCCACACCCAGGACTTAGGAGGTGCTTACCGCCTCCCCCGACCAGCAGATCAGCCAGCAAGGTTTCCTCACCCATCATCAGTGCAGCCATCCGGGAGGGTCCCCCTAGCCCCTGCCCTCGGTCACAGGGCAGATGGGAACCCAGTCTTCCGGCTCTGGGTGCACTGCTCCCGATGCCCCCAGGCTGCCCTGGTCCAGGGCTCCCTTTGGACTGTCCAGTGGCAGACGGCTGCCCCTGCCTGTAAGGGGTGCGCTGCCTGCCCCCACCCCCAGCCCCGGGAGGGGAGGTGCTGCGGCCTTTGTACCTCCCTGTGTTTCTTCTTTGCAGGGGACGCCCCTTTCTGTACCCCCGAGCAGCACAAGGAGTGTGCAGAGCCTGCGCTCGGTCAGTACTGGGGACACGTGGAATGCTGGGGAGGGCCTGAGATGGGGCTCTCCTGGGTGTAGGAGAGAGGTTGGGTGGGAGGGGGAATGGGAAGGGTGAGGGGGGAGGCTGGACAGAGTGGAATGGCTGCAGGAGAGGGAGGTGGAGAGCCGGTGGGAGGGAATTGATGCGAGTGGATGAGGGCTGGGGAGAGAAAGGAGGCAGAGAGGTGGACAGAGAGCAGTGCATGTCAGGGGGTGGGGGTGCTGAGGAATGCAGATGAGGGGCAGAGACGAGAGAGGATGCACGACAGGTGTGGGGGGCACAGAAGGAGTGTGACAGTATCCCCCCACACACACACACATACACACACACACATGCTGGTAGCTCACACAGCTAGGCCACCAAGGTTATCCCAAAGCAGGTTAGCCCAAGGAGGTGGGGCAGAGGAGAGAGGTAAGGCCGAGTGTGCATGGACTTGAGTGCCTTGGGCAGCTGCACTTGCTGGAGTTAAGTGGGGCAGCTCTTGACTCACACTGCCAGAGCTTCCAGGACTAGAGGCGAGGGGTGTGCTGGTGAGAGGACAGGCAGTGACTTCCGATGTGTGCAAAGACTCAGTCTCTCCTTGGAGTGAGGAATCAACAAAACCCATGGGCAGCCAGAAACACTGAGATGGTTAGACGAAAGAGGGAGGGAAATGTTGTCTTTAACCACCCGGTCATAAATGGAGAGGAGAGAGAGGAGGGGAGGGAGGAGAGACTAGATCAGTCGTTCTCAACCTTGACTGCACATTAGAATCACCTGGGAATCTTTTTGAAATCCTGATTTCTGGGCCTCATCCTCCGGAAATTCTGTTTCTTTGTTACTAATGTTGTGGCCCCACCCCATAGCAAAGAAACAGAATTTCCTGAGGATGAGGCCCAGAAATCAGGATTTCAAAAAGATTCCCAGGTGATTCTAATGTGCAGTCAAGGTTGAAAGGTTGAGAACTGGACTAGATGAACCTGGATGTGGGGAGTTTGCCTCTAGAGCAGTGGTTCTCAACGTTCTGGCCCTTTAAATACAGTTCCTCATGTTGTGACCCAACCATAAAATTATTTTCGTTGCTACTTCATAACTGTAATGTTGCTACTGTTATGAATCGTAATGTAAATATCTGATACGCAGGATGGTCTTAGGCGACCCCTGTGAAAGGGTCGTTCAACCGCCAAAGGGGTCGCAACCCACAGGTTGAGAACCGCTGCTCTAGAGAAAGGAGTGCAAATCTTGGCCTGTGTCCTAACCCAGCGGGCACAAGAGGTGGGCATTGGCTATGGGGAGCCAGCCCCAGAGGGAATCCACAGAGCCCAGCTTTCAGATGCAATGGTCTCCCACATGTGCCTTTGCCCACTTTGTGGATGAGAACACTGAGGCTAGGAGCAGAGACAAAGGCCGGGGAAGTAGAAGGGGCCAGGACTCCCTCGGAGCCTATTCTCCAAAAGCAGTGCCTTTTCAACAGTTTTTAAAGGGCCACATAACAGTGAGAGAAGCAGAAGGAACACGGGACCAAGAGTAACCTAGAAAGAGTGGGCACTTTTTCATAAGTGCTCACACCCTCAACCTAGAGCAGCAGCCCAGCTTCCCTTCTCTCCCCACCCCTCACTCACCAGGGAGGGCACCTCTTCCCAGCTCCTTTCTCTCCTGCTGGACCTGCTGCCCTGACCCAGAGGTCCCAGTCCCCACAGTGGACTAAGCCCCCTTCCTCTCCCCTGCAGGTCTGCTGGCGGAAAAGGACAGCAATTACTGTCTCTGCAGGACACCCTGCAACCTGACCCGCTACAACAAAGAGCTCTCCATGGTGAAGATCCCCAGCAAGACGTCAGCCAAGTACCTCGAGAAGAAGTTTAACAAATCAGAAAAATATATCTCGTAAGCTCAGGGGCATGTGGACTGGGGAGGAGGGGGTTGGTATGGATCAGGAGGAAATTAGGGGCAATCAAGGAAAAGGGCAAAGGTAAGCAGTTAGTTCCATTTAGCAGACATTAATTGAGCACCTACTGTGTGACAAGGTCTGTGCTCAGCACTCAGACTATGAAGACAAAGATGATTAAGATGCAGTCCCTGCCTTTAAGGAGCTTATAGTCCTGCAGGGCGACAAGCAGACAACTGAATGTGACAAAGGCTGATCCAGGCCCCAGGGATACAGGGAGGTAGTTGACTGCACCTCACATGGGGATGCTGCCAAGGAACGGGTCAAGAGATTTTTTAAATGATGCATAGGAGTTTTCCAGGCAGGCTTTGCACATTCTGTTCCCTCTTCCCAGAATGCTTTTCCTCTCACTCTTCACCTGACTGGTCCCTCATGGTGCAGGTGTTCATTTCAATTTCATCACCTCAGTCTGCCGGCATTGAGCATTTTAAACATAGCTTGAGCCCTAGCCGGTTTGGCTCAGTGGATAGAGCATCAGCCTGCAGACTGAAGGGTCCCGGGTTCGATTCTGGTCAAGGGCACATGCCTGGATTGTGGGCCCGATCTCCAGTAGGGGGCGTGCAGGAGGCAGCCAATCAATGATTCTCTGTCATCATTGATGTTCCTATCTCTCTCTCTCTCTCTCCCTTTCTCTCTGAAATCAATAGGGGAAAAAATATATATATATTTTAGAGGCCTGGTGCACAAAATTCGTGCATGGGGGGGCGGTCCCTCAGCCCAGCCTGCACCCTCTCCAATCTGAGACATCCCTCTCACAATCCAGGACTGCTGGCTCCCAATCACTCGCCTGCCTGCCAGCCTGATCAACGCCTAACTGCTCCCCTGCTGGCCCAATTGCCCTTAACTGTCCTCCCCTGCAGGCCTGGTCCCCCCAACTGCCCTCTCCTGCAGGCCTGATCCCCCCAACTGCCCTCCCCTGCAGGCCTGGTCCCCCCCAACTGCCCTCCCCTGCAGGCCTGGTTCCTCCCCCCAACTGCCCTCTCCTGCTGGCCATCTTGTATCCACATGGGGGCGGCCACCTTGTGCATTGGAGTGATGGTCGATTTGCATAGTACTCTTTTATTAGATAGGAGATATATATATATAAATATTAAACATAGCTTGAGTGACTTGGGAACTGAACTGTGATTTTATGTAATTTGAACTTGTTGAGCAGTTTTAGAGAGACCCTTCGGGCATTCGCTTAGAGGACGGACGGGAAGCCGGGTGGGCAAAAGGGAGCCAGTGAGGAGGTCGTCGCCATACACCAGGCAAGAGCTGGTGCTGCTTTGGCACCTCGGAGAGCCCTGCGTGGAGAGAGGGGGTTTGCTCCTCTCCCCAGCCACTCCCTCCTGCCAGCACCATCGCCAGAGCCCATCCTGGGCGGATGTCTACAAAGCAGACTGCTTCTGTTCAGGGGGTTGGGGACTGGCATTGAGGGCACTGTGCGCAGCACCGAAGGAGATGGGAATCGTAGGAGGTGCCAGCTCCTGCTGCTGAGCAGACATTCTGCAGGCAGCAACGGGCCTCCTGCCAAGATGTGTCTCATTAACACATCTGCCTAAAGGAACAGAGGGAACCAAGGTGCTCCTGCCAGAGGTGCCCCCCCCATATAGGTTTGTGCCCTAAAAAGCCACTCCGGCTCTGGCAACTGACCTGGTAATGCCAGGGTGGGGTCTCCGACTAGAAGCTTGTTGTAAATCCCAGTAGGAACTCGGGGACTCTCAGGAATGGGTAGGGGGGTCAGCTGGGCAGGCAAGCCTCGTCAAAAGAGTCCTGAGCTCGCCTGCAGGGAAGGACCTGGGCAGACCTCCTTAGGGACCAGAGAACTGTAAGGCGAGGCAGCGTGCAGAGTGGGCGAGAGAACTCGGGGCAGAGGGGGCCACTGATAGGTGCCTCCAGGTTCAGCCCCCAGGCCTGTGAAGAGCATGGAGTGGAGTCAGGGCTCCCAGTTTCAAGGCCCAGCTCTGCCACTAACCAGCTCGAACATTGGGCGGTGGTGGCACTTCCCGGGCCTCAGTTTCTCCATCTGTCCAAGGGAAAGCTGTTAGATGATGGCTGTGGATCCTGGCGGGTCCACCCATGTACGTACTGAACGTTCCCTCCGCAGCGAGAACATCCTCGTTCTGGATATATTTTTTGAAGCTCTCAATTACGAGACAATTGAACAAAAGAAGGCGTATGAAGTTGCTGCCTTACTTGGTAAGTCGAAGCGTCTGCTGCACAAATTTGCACATCTTATGGGAGGTGTGAGGGAGGGGGTGGCAGGTGGGCAGCAGGCGGGCAGGTCGAGCTATACGCCTCCTGACAAGTCTAGCTCTATGCCCGCTCATTGTTCCCTCCATCCTTGTATGGCTCCTGTCCCAGAACGCGAAGACCTCCAGTGTGGTGGAGGTTCTAGGCCAGTGCATGCAATCTCTGCCTCAGTTTCCCCATCAACACAGGGAGGCGGGTGGGCTGAAGATCTCTCTGGGCCTTTCCAGAGCTGCCCTGTTGGATTCCATGGTTCTCCACCCCCAGGTTGGTGTCAGAGTCTTGGGGTGAGGCAGGAAGAAAGAGCTGTCAGATGCTGGGAAGACCGAGCTGTGGAGGGTCCCCAGGCGGTGGACACAGTGAGGGTCCCCAGTGGAGCCCCCCTGGAAAGCAGAGTTGCTGCATTGAGAAGGCCAGGTGGTCCCTCTGCGCTGGGTCCTTTGTCAAACACAAAAGAAGGGCCATTTGTCCTCAGGTATCTACAGACCTGACTGCCACCCCCACACAAGTTGCCCTGGCCCCATAGGCATATAATGGATGCAGGGAGTTCATTTCAACCCTGCCCCAGCCCAATACAACATGCACAAGACCCCTGAGGCAGACAGACCTGCTCCTTGGGGGCTCCTGCCAACTCCCCCTCACTCTCAAGAAGGGATCTGCAAGGAAAAGTAGCCGTTGTTGCCTCTGTGAGCTGAGCCAGGTGAGGGGGCAAGGAGAGGAAGAGACACCGTCTACCTGAGAGTATAAAGCAAAGACCAGCTGTGAGAATGTAGGCCAGTGGCTTCTCCTCACTGGCCCCAGGTCCCTCATCTGTAAAATGGGTCTGATGAAACCCACTCTATGTGTTGGCTATGATGGTTAAATGTGGTAAAGCCCCAGCCCACAGAAGGTCCAGTAATATCATTTCTGGTCCCTGGACAGTCTCCGTGCCAGGGACCAGAACCCGGCTGGTGTTTCCAGGTGCCATCAGGCCTTTCTGCACCTCTCCCAGGAGGCTGGGTCCCAGCGGGGTTAAGGTGGCTGTCACTCGGGCCTCTCAGGCCCCTGTGGCCAAAGGGGCTGAGCCTAGAGACGTGTGCCCTGGGCCGGAGATGGAGGCTCCTCCCCTGTCCTTGCCACCTTCATTTCCTAAATGGACTCAGGACATGACTCCTCCCCACCCCCACAAAAGCTCACAGTCACACACACACACTCAGCGGGGAGGGCCCGAGCTCGGATCCGTCAGGAGGGACAGCTCGTCTCTGCATCAGATATGAGGATGAGCGTTCCTAGCATCGTGTTCCCTCCCAGAATAGCCGCTGAGAAAAGCATGGGGCCATCTGCAGCCTCGTGATGGGAGCGTGTGCCGCTGTGAACCATCAGCCACAGGCTGTCAGGCCTCTCTCACACTGCCACACGGCCCACGCCCTCACCTCAGTGCACGCTACACTCCGTGGCCATACACAGGCGTGCACCTGCACAGACCCGCGTGCACATGCACTGCATGCCTGCACTCACACTCTTACCTACAACTGCCCATGCACACAAACATGCTCACACCTGCACATACTCACTCCTGCTCACACTCAGACACACAGTCCACCTCCACAAAGCCACTCACACACTTAGACACTCTCCGTGTACCTACCCTAGACCTAGATCGCCACCTACATAAAGCCGTCAACAGCCAGATGTACTGCCTATTTCTATACACATACTGCACATACACGGGACCCTGGCACATACCCCCACACTCAGTCACACTTCACTCACATACAGACACACACTCACACCTGACGTGCACACTCCCCGATACACCTCCACTGAGGGCATGAGAGTGAGCGTGAGGGGGGAAAGGCCTGCAGGGAGCCTTTTGAGCTCAGCACCAAGTCCCACCGGGAAGAACCCCCTCCCCACGATCTCAGCTTGTTCAGGATGTGGCTGTTGGGCTCCTCCCAGCTGTGATCAGGGAGGAGGGGGCAGATGTACCCATCAGGAAGTTCTCAGACCAAGAGGTCATCCTGGAGGGTCCAGGAGGACTGTGTGCCCACCCCAACAGCACCCTCATTCCCAGCACTCTCCCAGCCCAGACTTAGAGATTACAGCTGGGAAGCACTTCACAGCTCATCTCCTCTAAGCCCCCTCCCAATGGCCTCCACCACTTGAAGGCACAGCTCCTGAGAGGGTCAGGGCTTATCAAAGCCACACAGCGAGCTGGTGGCCACTCTGGCTCAGAGCCCCAGAGAGCAATGGACAAAGCACCGTGGGCTTCTGGGGGATCACAACCCTTGGAGAATGGGCTCATAGCCACTCATATATAAACTCTCCCACTACGAAAGCCTGGTGCCCACACTGAGTGTCTCCATTCATTTCGGAGGATCGCCAACCATCTGAAGCGCCCACAGGAGAGGGGTTTTCAAACTCTGGTGGGCCAGAGGACCCCCTGGGGAACGGACAAATCCTGACCCCCAGACCCCGACCCCAGATCTGACATGTAGCCTGGGGTAGGTCCAGGCGTCTGCACTGACTACAAGACTCCCAGGAGTTTAATGCGGGGGGGATCTGAAGGCCAGTCCAGAATAGCTTTGGTCAGGGGGCCCATCCGCCCCAGGGTAAGAACCTCTGCTCTAGAGAGAGACCCAATCGAACATTTACCTTTGGGTAAGGGAGATAGAAGATGCGTCCAAGGGCCTCATCCCCAGAGTGAGAGGTGCCCCAAGGTGACCCTGAAGGTCATGTCATGATTAAAGGCATAGGCCAGGAGGCCTCTTGCGACACCGCTCCCACAACCCCCACTCAGGGCACCTGACACTTGTGTCTCAGGCTAGACTGTGCCCTTGCCCAGGGCAAGGACCACATGTGTCTTATCTCTGTTCTCAGCCCAGAGCCAAAGCAAGGCCCAATCAGTGCGGTTTCTAATGTAATTGGCAAGCCTGTCAGCCTATGAGGTCTATTCTGGAACCTCCAATAAGCATTCGGGTTAGTTGCATCCTCACTAGGTTCTGCACCTATCAGCTCTGAGAGCTGTGCATTGAGGGAGGGATTTGTCAAAGGCCTGCCTTCCAGTGACAAGCCCGGGCTCCCCTGGAGGGGGGGCGTAGAGGTGGGGATAGAAGCTGCAATCCAGGTATGTACTCTTGAGTGGGTATTGAACCCAAGACTCTTCAGTGTGAGGCCAGATGCTCTATCCGCTGAGCAACACCAGCCAGGGCTTGCCTGGTATTTCCTTATCAATGAGAATAAATATTTTTTCTCATGCTTATTGACCATTTGCATTTCTTTTTTTAAGTCCTGTTTTTCATATTTTTATCTTGGTGTTTGCCTTATTATTTCTTAGGAAGAGTTTTTGACCTAGTTACATATATGACATATATTTGTTCTAATCAAGTTTATTTTTTTTACAAATTTATCTTTCTAAAATACATTATAAAAATATAAATACTCGAGTGACAAGCCCGGGCTCCCCTGGGGGGGCGGGGGGTTGCACTCAGAAGGTCTGGGTTCTGAGTTCCGCGTCTGTTCGCCCTTCCTGGAGGTGCTGTGAGTGAAACCAAACCTTTGGTCTCTTCTGTCTCTCTCCAGGTGACATTGGTGGCCAGATGGGGTTGTTCATTGGTGCTAGTATCCTCACAATACTAGAGCTCTTTGATTACATTTATGAGGTAAGATTTGGGATCCCTCTTGGGAAATGACCACATGCGGGTGCCCTCATCCTGCCCCCATGCCCAGAACCGAATCACCTCATCTCCACCAGAGCCTGCACCCTCCTCCTGTCCATGGCTATTGTCTGTCACCAGCCCTAGGTATCGGGGAGGGATGAATGTAAGGGAGGGGAAGCCACAGTCCTGTGGAGGAAAAGCCGTGGGCTGTCTACAGGAGCAGGGAGGAGATGAGACTGGGCTGAGGCCAGCTCTGAGCCCCTCCCACAGCTAGCCTGCCCATGCACGCGCGCGCACACACACACTTATACCACACTTAACACATTACTCACAAATGCGCACACACACGCGCGCACACACACACACACACCTGCCCTCTGGGTGGCTGGTCACCTGCGTGGTACCGTCATGGTCAGGGAGACTGCGGTAAGGGGCATTTCCCAGCAGCCTCCTGGGTCCTGAGAAGAGCAAGACCACACCCACTGCCTCTGGCTGCTGATGGTCTGTGGAGATGTCTCCCTCGGGGGCAGCAGGGACAGAGCATCTGAGAGCTTCCCAAACAGCGGGCAGCGGCTTCAGGATTGGGAGCTCCTGGTGCTCCTCAGCCTTCCCCCCATCTCCCCAGACCCAGCTGGCTGCAGGGCTCCAGGACCCCTCGGGCACGCCCAGGCCCTCGCAGGCCCCGGGAGCACCGGGTCTGGGCCCAGCAAACAGTGCTTGCGAGCAGAGTCTGCCCCAGACAGGCCTGGCCGTGGCCGAAGGTTGCTCTCTGGGAGCCCCTGTGGGGCGGGAGGGCCCTGTGGCCAGCGTTCCCGGCATCCCACCCCGCCTTTCAGCCGGGAAACCTTGTTCCATACGCCAAAACCACGCCCCATGGCCAAATTTTATTCCCCTTTGTTTCTTAATTTTGTGAGAAGCTGTACAAAGTTAGGGAAATTGAATCACACTGGGTAACGTATTTGATAACTACCCTCTGCTGCTAAGAATAAAATGTTACGGACTCGAGTGTGCCCTGAACTTATGAACTGTGGGGGAGACGGGCCTAGAAAGTAATTAGCAATCTTGTCCCCCCAGACCCGGGCTCAGAAAGGGGCCCAGGCTGCTCCTGAGGGCAGATGGGGAGCCAGCACGCCAGCACGTGTCGCTTCTCCACACTGTCCATCCACAGGAGAAGGCAATCCGCACTGCGCCAGGGCCCTCCTGTGACCTCTCCAAGCTCTGGCCCCGGCACCAGAATCCCTTGGCAGCCCAGGGATGGGGCGGAGGCTCCTGCCCGGCGGGGGTCCTGCCACCATTTGTCTGGCCACAGCGCAGGCAGCTGCTGCCACGGTGGCTCCCCCGGGGGAACCCAGGGCAGGGAGGCCTCTTGCCTTTGCCCCTTCCCCCAGCCTGACCACTCCCTTCCGGCCTCTCTTGCAGCTGATCAAAGAGAAACTATTAGACCTGCTGGGCAAAGAAGAGGATGAAGGGAGCCCCGACGAGAATGTGGTGAGAGCGGCTTGTGGGCTGGAGGTCGATTAGCTCCTCTGGTCTGTACAGACGATGTGAAACCAGATACGGGGCCAGAGCAGGAGGGGCCGTGGAGTGGAAGGGACCCAGGCTCCGGACGGAGCTGTCCTGGCTGGGTCCCAGGTCCCTGCTTCTGAGCTGTGTGCCTGGGGACAGGTCCCTGTCTCCCTGAGCATCTGCCTCTTCGCAGGGAACTGGGGATGGAAGCGGGTTGGGGCAGGGTGGAGGGGTGTCATTCAAATGAGGGAGACCAGCCTATGAAACAATCAGCATGCCTAGTGGGTGTTTTTTTAATATACTTTTATTGATTTCAGAGAGGAAGGGAGAGGGAGAGAGAGAAACGTCAGTGATGAGAGAGGACCATTGATCCACTGCCTCCTGCATGCCCCCTACTGGGGATCCAGCTGCCACAAACCAGGCATGTGCCTTGACTGGGAATCGAACCTTGACCTCCTGGTTTATAGGTCGATGTTCAACCACTGAGCCACACTGGCCGGGCAGCATGCCTAGTTTATAGTAAGTGCTCAGCAAGTTCAGGTTCCCCCACTTCCCTCCTGCCTCCGAAATGTCTGTCATAGGTTCCCCCTCTATTCTTCCCCCTCCTGCAGTATTGTCCTTATCGAATCTCTCCAAATTCTTAGCATGGCCTCCTGGCCGATCTCTGCTCCCAGCCCTCGCTGCCTCCCACCCGGAGCAGCGCGGGACAGCCTGGGGGTCTCCTGGAAGATCCTCGGTCTCTCGGCCACACCCTGCCCAGGTACCCAGGATGACTGTTCCCGGTGTGCAGTCTAACCCTGAAGGTCCTTTGGGCAGCTGTGACCAGCTCTGGTTCTGGCCTTCGAGGCCTCCGCCCTTATAGCTTGGGGCCTCAGCGATCGAACGGCACCCCCTGCCCCAGGCTTAGCCCCAGGCTGCACCTCCTCACCCCAGCTAGGCCCCAGAGGCCAAGGGTGGGATGGGCTATCCAGCGCACAGCCAGACGTCACTCAGATGTAGCTTCAGGTGGCACATCAGGGGACTTCTAGGAGGAAAGGCCACATCCCATCACCAGAGAGTCCTCTCCCCGTGCCAGGGGCACCCAGGGGGGCAGTGGCGAGGGTTCTGAAGGCAGGGAGGCCCCTTCATACCACAGATGCCAAACCAGTGCATGGGGTCTCTGGGGCAGAAGCAGCAGTGCCCCGGGGAGCCCACAAGTGAGGAGCGTGGTCCCCAAGGCTGCCAGTGGCACCTGATGAAGTTTTGAGTATAAACACCACCTTTGCCCGGCTGGTGTGGCTCAGGAGGTTCATGGTCCGATTCCCGGTCAGGGCACATGGCCCAGTTGTGGGCTCGATCCCCAGTGTGAGGCGTGCAGGAGGCAGCCGATCAATGATTCCCTCTCATCATTGATGTTTCTATCTCTCTCTCCTTCTCCCTCTCTCTCTGAAATCAATAAAAATATTGATTTAAATAAATAAATAAATAAATAAACAAACAAACAAACACCACCTTCCCCTCCCTCCAGAGCACCTGTGAGACGATGCCAAACCACTCTGAAACCATCAGCCACACTGTGACTGTGCCCCTGCAGACGGCCCTGGGGACCTTGGAGGAGATCGCCTGCTGACAGCCCTCAGAGCGCCCGGCACCCCCAAGCAGACCCCGAGGCCCAAGACCCGGGACAGGGGACAGCAGGCTCAGGCGGGATGGCCCCCGATGACGGAAAGCAGCAAGAGCCCCCTATGCACACATAGCAAACTCTCTGCCAAAACCTCGCTGCGGCCACGTGGACACGGCCCGTCCTCGGTCCCCGCCGTGCGTCCCTCTTAGGAGACATGAGACACATTCTGGAACAGTCCAAGGACCAACCTGCCATCACATCTCACTGCCAGATGTAGAAAGCACCTGCATGCTCAGACTTCTCACGGCGCCACCTCCACGTCTGTCTGTGTACGAGACGCTCCGCTGCACGGTTCCCCCGCGGTGGGACCGGGTTCCGGCCCCCAGTCACCGCGAGGCCACAGCTGGAATCGCAGCTGCACAATCGAGGAAAACCGCAGAACTGTCGGCTACGTCCGGTCCTTGTGTGGTTCGTGAAGGTCCTTAACCTGCCCACAGTCCCTTCCTGCCCCAGCCGACCCTCCCCGCCGGGGGACCGGGCCGAGCCCCTCCAACCCCAGCGCCTGTGATGGAGGCCTGTGGCCTGGTGACTCCGGCCCATGTCCGTGGCTCCCACGCGTTCTGCCCTCCCTGCTGTATGGCTTGTACAGTCCGATTCTGTCTTTGGGGGGTTTACTGTCTGTCAGAGGTCCGTTTGGTTTTGTTTTCTGATCTTTGGGTTTGCTGTTCTGAGTTCGGTTTGGTTTTCCCATTTTCTCTGGCGTTTATTTATTCGTGCTTCCCGTCACGGTCATATTAAAGCTGGTCTTGTGGAAGTGGCTCCACGGTGTCTGCCTCCTCCCACCCTCAGGTCTCTCTCCCCACGCACCTAGGAAAGGGCCAGACCTCCCAGGCCAAAGACCACAGGTTCTGTCAAGTTTTGTGCAGCAACACTTACTAATCCTTAACAACTACTGATCGTGACCTTGTAAATGACTTCACGACCCACTCACAGATGGGTCATAGCCCAGGGTCTGAATGACACACCTGGACCATGGCGTGAAGAGGGAAGGCGGAGAACGCGCCCAGACACAAAAACCATAGAGGCCTTCACGCCTTCTGCTCTCCACCTTCCGTCCTGATTCCTGACCCCGTCAGTGAACTTGGGCTGCACACAGGCCCAGCGTGGCCTCCCTCCCACACACCAGCGCTCCAGGACCCTCTCTGTGCCTCAGCTCTTCACCCATCACACAGACTGCTTGTCCCTGTAGGGGTCACATTTGCATTCGGCCTCACTCCTCATAAGTCCTCAGAGGTTGTCCAGATGGGAAAGGAGGTGGGGAGGGGCCTTTAGGCTGCAGGGGGGCTGCTCTTTCCAGCCCTGGGTGGCAAAAGAGAGCTTGCTGTTCAGGCAGAATCCTTGTGCAATCATTTCTCCAGACGCTGCCAGGGCACGGGCATCCCTCTCCTGAGACAAAGTCACTCCTCACTGCTTCCGGCTGGAAGATACCCTGCTGGTGCCCCGAGGGTCGGAGGCAGAAGAGCAGAGAGTGTCCTCAGGCGCTCCCATCAGAGCCAGGAGCCAAACGACATGCCTATTCAGTGAGTTTGGAAACTATCAGATGCTCGGCTTTGTCCCAGTTTAACAGTGTCATCAATTTTTTAAAATCTATAGATTAAGTTGCAATTCCACCTGCTTCGTTGGATTTCTGTCTTCCTTTAAAAAGCACACGCGCACACACAAACAACCTCAGATCAATGTGAGATGGAGCAGAGAATATTCGAGCGGGTTTGCATTGCTTCCGGCCTCCCATACGTTATGTGCTTCTTCTGATTGGGGGATTCTGGCTTTGCTCACCTTGGAGCAGGTCTACAAGCTTAACCTGCTGAAAGGGGAAAAGGCAGGAAATTCAAGATAGCAAGTCAATAGCCAACTACTGATTATTATTGACTAGTTGTTAACCAATGACCTAGTTGTCTGCCTGAACTCCTGGGAGTGGCCGGGTGTTTTTTATTATCCTCACAAATAACCATTTTTGCAATCATTTCCTTCGTGGAGGCCTGGGAGGTCGGTGCACAGAGGAGACACGGGGATGTGTCCCATTTTGAGAGTGACCCCAAGGACGACAAACAGCCAGCAGTCTGAACCAATCACAAGCCGGAACGTCAACGTTGGATTATCAGTGACCTTAAAGCAGTGGTTCTCAACCTTCTGGCCCTTTAAATACAGTTCCTCATGTTGTGACCCAACCATAAAATTATTTTCATTGCTACTTCATAACTGTAATGTTGCTACTGTTATGAATCGTAATGTAAATATCTGATATGCAGGATGGTCTTAGGCGACCCCTGTGAAAGGGTCGTTCGGCCGCCAAAGGGGTCGCGACCCACAGGTTGAGAACCGCTGCCTTAAAGGGTGAGATCAATCAATCAATCAATCAATCAATAAAATGGTGGCACCTGACCCCAGAAACAGAAGCAGTGGAGTCTGCAGTTAGGGAGAGAGAAAGGACAAAGCACTTCTGTGAGCAGCCATCTCAGACCGGGCCGCTGCTTACATGCTCCTGCTTTGTTGTTTTTGGCAAAGAGAGGCCAGAGGTCATTTGTGTTCCCCTTTCCAGCTGCAGCTATTTTTTTAATTTATTGATTGATTTTAGAGAGAGAGGATGGGAGAGAGGGGGTGATAGAAGAAGGGAAAGAGCGAGAGAGAAACGTCGATTTGCTGTTCCACTTATTTATGCACTCATTGGTTGATTCTTGCATGTGCCCTGACCGGGGATCAAACCTGCAACCTTGGCGTATTGGGAACGACACTCTAATCCCTGTTTTCTAAGAGTCTTAACCATGAACCCCCTTCGTGAGAAAGGGCCCCGAGAGGGGGTCTGGAGAAAGGTGCTTGGTGAGCTGGGAAGGAGGGGTCCGAGGCAGGCTTCCCCGCAGGTAAAGCTCAGCTCAGCCTGAGAGGCCACGGAGAGACCTGGGAGCTCTTCCTCCACAAACTCAGAGATTTCCGTTCCATCGTGAGACCCGAACTCAGTGCAGGGGGAAGGGCCTCCAGAAAGTGCCGGTGAATATGCTCCCCGTTACAGAGACGCCAGGGAGGCTCGAGAGCCAAGAACGAGCTTCCACGGGGACTGTCACCAGGCCAGACCCACGCCGAGCCAGCAGGCCCTGAGACGCACAGAGCACGTTTCCTGGCACCGCTGGGAAGGCAGCAGGGCGACAAGACACAGCCTCGCCATTCATCCCACTCCTCTTGATTGTTTGCCCAGTCTGTACCGGGCACCTGCCCTCCAGGAATGATCATGTGAGTCCTCCAGGAAACAGACAGCTAGGAAAGATGAATCGGAGTTTTGTGGTCAAAGGAGAGTGAGTCAGCGGCACATGCAAAGCCTGGGAGGCAGGGGCAGGGGGGAGGGGGAGGAGAGCGTGGAAAATACACAGCCCAGGGACTGCGCAGAGGTCCAGGGCACCCAAGCATAGACGTCAAAGGGGAGTGTCCAAAGTGACCACGGAGAGAGTGGCAGGTGCCCCGGGTGAAGGGCGGGTTCAGCACGCTGAGGGTGCATCAGAGCTGAAGTCCTGCGAGTCCCTTCCTCTGATCTCCCAGGGTCTGAGATGTTTCCCAAAGCAAAGGTTGATTTCTTTAGCTAATGGCTTTCTCCCCGCTCCTGTGAGGATCCTGGCACATGGAAGCATGTTGTGCATCATCTGTGTTCTCCTAAGGCTAGTAGGTGGAACGTGTTTGGGGCCGTGCAGTTCAGGGGACTGTAACCCAGGGCAGCGGCAGCACCCACCTGAAGACAGGTGAGAGGAGAGCTGCTTACGAATCCAATTTAACATTCAGTAAAACCTGTGCTCTGGGCCTTTGTAGGAGCAATCGGTTAGTAAAGGCTTTTGACAGAGTCTCGAAAAACAGCATTTCTAACCCATTTCTGTTGTAAACTACTCATATACCTCTGGACAATTTACTCCATTTTTCTAGGCCTAAGTTCCCTCCTTCATAAAAGGAGAGGAAAACCCTAGCCAGTTTGGCTCAGTGGATAGAACACTGGCCTGTGGACTGAAGGGTCCTGAGTTTGATTCCGGTCAAGGGCATGTACCTCACTTGTATGCCAGCCCTGGTCGGGGTGTATGCAGTAGGTAGCTGATCGATGTGCTCTCTCACATCGATGTTTCTCTCTGTGTCTCTCTCCCCCTCCCTCCATTCTCTCTAAAAATCAGATGTTTCTCTCTGTGTGTGTGTCTCTCTCCCTTTCTTCCACTCTCTCTAAAAATCAGTGGAAAATATCCTCAGATGAGGATTAACAAAAATAAAAAAATAATAATAAAAGGAGAGGGGATGGAAAATAAACAGCAAATCTCTTTGGTGCGTCCACTCTAACAGTCTCTAAGTGGAGGATGGGGTCAGGTACCTAAGCAGCTATTTCATTCCCTGCTTCTAGCCTCTATTTCCCACCTATACCATGGAGATGAGGGTGCCTAGTTTTCAGGGTTATTATGGGGTCAAATGAGCTAAGGTATATACTTTCTATCTTTTCTTATTTTCTTTCTTTCTTCCAGTAAAACATTGATCTCACTCGGATACTTGTATGGATTAAAAACAAGGTGAAAGCTATGAACTTTCTCCCAGAAAACAAAAATGAACAGGGTCACATAGATAATCATAAAACGTGCACTCCATCTGAGGAGGAGGATGGAGCCCCAGAGCCTGTGTGTGACCCCTGAGGGACGCACGGATGCCCGGCCTTGCCGCCTGGTCCCAAAAGTATTAACCTCTCCTCCCGAAGATCATCACGGTACCACGAGGAGCAACCGATGTTTCCCCTAATATGCCCTAATGACTGCCATTTTTCAATTCACAGGAGGGCGGGGGGGAGTGACAGGCAGGATTTGATCAATTTCAAGATTTCCCTCCCATCATTTTTTTAAACCTTTGCCACCTACTGCAGCTTGTGCACTGAGAGCTCACAGATGGCGAGATGAATGAGCAGAAAATGGATGTGAACCGAGAACCTTGGAGCTGTGATTTCGTAAAATTACCTTATTCATGTGCTGATTGGGAGGGCTGAGGAGACCTGCAGACAGAAAGCAACTGCAGCCTCGCTTTGCAAACATCCCTGTGGCCTGGTTCTTAAGGAATGAGACCACGCGTGCCCTGCACACGGGAAATGCATGCATAATGTCCTCTGGCTGCCGCTGAGCCCCCGGACATGCACCGCTGTTGACATCTCATTCATTTCTGAGCAGAACTGCAATGAGGCTCTTTTTTTTTAAGAGAGAGAGAGAGAGAGAGAGGAAGAGAGAGAGAGAGCAAGGGAAGGAGGAAGGAAGGAAGGAAGGAAGGAAGGAAGGAAGGAAGGAAGGAAGGAAGGAAGGAAGAAGGAAAGAAGGAAAGAAGAAAGAAAAAAACTACCTCCTGGCAATGGCTGTGAGTGACACCTTGTATAGAGAGCGGCTACAGTGTTTGGACAGGTTCAAGCCTCGGACTAATGAGAGGGCACAGTCCTCTCATTGCCACGTGCAAGTCCCAGCACAATTATAGCCAAAGGCTATAGTTGTAAGCTTGAACCTATGGTCCAAACACATGGCCCCACGTGTCTGAGTGATGTGGGCTTAAGAGAATTCAGGTGCATGTAATTGAGT